TGGTGAGGTGTACACCCGATATCGGTTTGCCGTGCCGCGTGGGTTAGCGTTCCCGGCCGGTAAACCAACAGATGATCCATGTTATGAGACCATGATTTACTAATTTATATGCCAATGTTATCGGTACCTGTTTTTATCATAAATAATTGCATAGTATGAATATTGATGAGCACGTTGATTATTGCTCAGCCCCCACAATTATCTTTTCAAGTTAGCATGTCGGGCGGGACTCAAGAGGGGCTAGTGGTGGTCATATGCAGTTTATTTATTGTTTCCGCTATTGAACATTTTATTTTTACAAACATGTTATTATCAGCTATGTTGAAAATTGTTTGGGTTCCTGTTTCAGTTTTTCAATTCATTTATCAGACTAGTATCGATCGCTCTGCTAGGTCTTAATGAATTGAACATGTTTATGTCGGGATCAGATATCCTGAAATGATTATAAACAGACATGATAATAAAGCTAGTTACATGTTTAGTAAGTACCCTCCAATCATGATTTAAAAAGTTAAATTATTTTCGAAAAGTTCGATTCATTTTTCAAACTCTGATGATTTCAACGTACAAATAGAGGGGACTTACACAGGCTGACACGAAGAAAATAGATATTAGTCGGGAGTGGTATTAACTGAAGGATTTGGAAGTTAGCGATCATAGTATTTAAACAAGTTTAGGAGGAAGTTGAAGAGATCGACGACATAGTGAAGGAAAGAAAAGAAAGTAAGAGACGGCCTAAGTATTCTTCGAGAAAGGCCAAAAGTATAAAATGATAAAAATCAAAGCTTCTAAGAAACACATACATACATACATACATACATACATACATACATACATACATACATACATACATACATACATACATACATACATACATATATACATACATACATACATACATAAAGGTCTAGAGCGTACCCATAGAAGTGTCTGAGAAATCGCCGAGGTTACAGAAATAAGTCTGGAAATTTATAAAGACATGTCAGGAAATTCAAGATGAGATGGAAGCTAGGGAAAATATGATTATGTCTAAGTGAAGAAAAGGAGGAAAGACAACCTATAAGGGTTTTTAGAAGCTACATAAAGAAAGAAAAACCTGACCGCTAGAAGGCACACAAATCAAGGGCTCAAATTTGCGCACATAACACGATAAAACGTGCTCACATGGATATGACGTGTTAAAGGATTGGGATTTGAGAAGGTAAGGTGTATCTTTTGTTGTCTCGCATTCTCCCAAGTTATCTGACAATACATTGAACGTAAAAGAAGACCAAATACAAAGATTTAGTGAAAGATCCATTTCAGCAAAAGAACTCCAGTCAGCTCGCCCTGATATGAGGGGGATTGAGGATATATCACTCAGAATAGATCGGCAGACCGGCTTGAGCAGGCAACTGAAGTAGACTGATCTGGGAGAGCTTGAATTCATTCAGAAACATGCAATCCAGTCAATGAGACTCGAGCTCAAAGTACTGGCCGACTCGGAGATACCGACCTGCATGAGCCTACAATAAAGTCGACCTCAAGGTATCAAGGTTGTAAGACCTAAGGTCAAGTTATACCTCAAGATGAGTTCAGGATCGACCTCGGGAAAGCCACAACAAGTAGATCGGGAGGTCGAGGTTACGACCTAAGGACATAAGGGTTACACGGTAAGGGGGAAATAATTCTGGTGAGAAGAAAAGTATCACTTGCTCAAGAAGCCTTGCCAAGATAGAGACGTGGTAAGTTAGATAATATGATTTGGTTAGATCTTTTTCTTGAAAATTACTTTCTAGGGCAACAAGACAGCTTTCCTATATAAGGGTGCCACGTTCTTCTTCATTAAGATATTGCATTCTACGCATTAAGTTACATATTCTCATTAGGCATTAGAGGTTTCCCACCGAGACTCCCTCCCGACATATTGCAGGTCATCGGAGCTAAAAGACGAAAGAAGTTCACGGCATAGGCATTTCAACCAAGTTAATGACAAAAAGTGACGTAACAAATGGTGAAGCTTGTGTTCACGTTCTCCCTTCCATAGGTTTGAGACGAAGGGACCCCTTATCTCATTTTAATTTTTTTATTATATATGAATTTTTTCTTATCTTACTATGTTTAATGTTTTTGAAGGAAGGTTTAAAGGGGGCATGATTTGCAAAAATAGCCTGTTTTTTCTTATTTTTTGTTGTTTTGTGAAGCTAGTGTTGGATATCTTAGATAAATATAGACAGATGCCTGGACAATTAGTAAATCTTGAAAAGTCGTCAATTTTTTCAGTAGAAATGTGTTTGCCTTTTAGAAAAGAAAAATTTGTCATATTTTGTTTGGTATTAAACCTCAAAGTTCTAGTAAATACTTGGGGTTACACTTAGGGACAAGGAGAACTAAAGGAGAAACTTTTAAAAATGTCATTCAAGTTGTTCATCAAAGGTTTGCAAACTGAGAGAAAAAAATAATATTGTCTCATGCTGGGAAATAAGTTCTTCTTAAAGTTGTGCATGATGCTCTTCCCGTCTAAGTTATATCGTGCTTCAAAATCTCGGACAAGATCATCAGAAAAAGTGTGTCGGCTGTCTGCTAGGTTTTGGTGGGGAACTCGCATGGGTATTCATTGGAAGGCCAAGAGTGGTCTGACTATTCCTAAGGAGTATGGTGGATTGGGATTTCATGGTCATAAATTTTTAATGATGTCATGTTGTCAAAACAAATTTGGAGAATTTTCTCTCAACCCCATCTTTTTGTCAGCAAGGGTCCTTAAAGCTAAATACTTTTCTGAGGTTAGTTTGTTTGATTCCAAGATTCCGCAAAGTGTTTCCTGGTTGTGGAAAGTTGGTGTTCTGCCACTACCGCCCTTTGAGTGGACATCTATTGGCTAATAGGATATGGAAAAGGGTTAGGATCTTCTAGGACCCTTGGGTCCCTTCTTTACCTAATCTGAGCCTTGTTGTGCCTATGGAGAGAGAGAGAGAGAGAGAGAGAGAGAGAGATAGAGGCTAGAGTGAGTATGTGATCTTTTTTATTCATTTGGAAAAGGTTGGAATAATAACCTCAACTTTAATGTCTTCATAGATTATGAGGCTAAATCTATTTTGGCCCCTGAAGGCCCCTCATCCTGGTTCTTCTAGCGAACTGACTTGTCTTAGAGACTGGAACAAGCTCTTTATCGTTAAATCTCTTTATTCTAAACTCATCTTGAATAAGATTTATCTCTTTGATCACCCAAAAGCAATCATACTTGTACCCTGAGGAGAGTAATTATATCTTATAGCTAAAAACTCAAAGTACAAAAATAAAATAAAACCTAAGGAGAGTAATTGGATCTTATAGTTGGAAACTCGAAGTAAAAAATAAACTAATTTTTTTTTTTGTGAAAATGCTACTCAAATAATTTTCCTTCAAAGTCCAACCTTTAAAAGCGAGGATTGGAAGTGGATACTTTATGCTACTTTTGTAGAGAGCATTAAAAGACAGTGGAACGCATTTTCTTTGAATGCCCAAGAACCAAAGCTATCTGGAAACTGGAACTTGTACACTAGGAGGAACTCCATACAGTTTTCTGCTCGTTCGAACATTAGTGTGGCAATTTATGCATGGTTGATAAGAGCACATGCCCGAAGAAAAAGGTACAAATAACCACCTATCTTTTGTGGTGGTTGTGGAAAAATTCAAAACTTGTGGAATTTTTAAAAGCAATAGATCACAGAGTGGCAACCGTTGGTGCTGCAGTTAAGGAGTGGAATGAATTTGCCAGTTTCTTTGAGCCCTTTAGTCTGATTCTCATTTTTTTTTTTTTTTTCTTCTTTGGGTATGGTATTTTTTGCCAATTCCATTGTGTTCTTTGTTCGTTGTGGATTTTGTGGTTGTGAATAGTAAGCTTTTTATTGCCAACTCTGTTTCTTAAGTACATCTTAGATTATTACCATCTTAGATTGTTTCTTTTTTATTATTATTATTTTTTTCATCTTGGCCATATTTTTTGTATTGGTTCCGTGAATAGGGGTGACAAGTTTGGTTCATGCTTTTTTTTTCACAACGATAGATTTTATAAAGCATAAACAAATGTACAAATACAAGGGCTGCCCAAGAGTAAAATAAGAGGAGTGTCATAAAGGCCACCTAGGAAACAACTAAAACAAAACTACTACAAGTCAACAATCGCCGGCATAGTTTGAGGTTATGAGTAGCCAGAAATGTGACTTGATGTAGCTATACTCTAAAAGGTGAGTACCAAGCAAAAAGATAACCCTGCCACTGAGACCAAGTCACCGAGCTGAATCATACTACTACAACCAAAAAAGAAAAAGAAACCGACTAGGACTAAGAGAAAAAATTACAAATGAAAGAGAACTACCCAAAAGCATAAAAACTATAGACTAGAGAATTCTAACCAAGCAGAGTTTACAGTTTGAACAATAGTGTATTCTGAACGCCATAAATCTTGGAAACTCCAAACATTTCTGACTTTCCAAATCCACCAAAACAAGTAAGTAAACCGTTAGTTGAGTCCTATAGTCATGGTAAGTACAAGCCTTCAGAGTGCAAAGTTTGGTCCACCACCGAGAGAAGTTAAATGTGTAATCTGCCAGGCCTTCCCAGGTGATTGCTGCAAGCTTCCAAATTGTCTTAGATTTACTGTAGTGGAAAAGGAGGTTCTTGCTTTATTGGTGTCGTTTGTAAAACTGTCTTTTGGGAGCTTTCTTTTTTTTTTTAATTTTTTTTTAGGAAAAAAAAAAAAAGAAAAAGAATGCATTGTCTTTCCCATTCCTTAAAAATTTCTTTAAAAAGGGAAATGAGAACAAGCACACACTGCCATGTCACCCATATGTTGCGCTGTGCTGTCCAATAATCTTCACCCACGTCACCACATTGCACCATAAAAATTTGTTTTTATCTTCAGACCTAGGGTCACTATCAGTCAAAAGTGCATAGTCCTGAACGGGAGAGAATCCCAACCCGCAGACGTGGTTTTTCATCATCTCGTCTCCCCGGGCCCGCAAAACCGACACACTATAGGCATGGAGAGGACGCGAGGAACTCTCCGGTGCCGGCTGGTCCCTTACGCCGTCTCCGTGCTCCTGTTGTTGGTGATGGGTAGCTGCGTACAAGGGCTCACCGTGACCGTGGTCAAGGAGGAGTGCGTTTTCGACTACGTTTTCTACCAAAGCGACACCGTTTCCGGTAACTTCGTCGTCGTCGATTACGAGCACTATTGGAACTCCGACCGTCCCGGCATTGATTTCACTGTATTCAATTCCCCTCTCTCTCTCGCTCTGTGTGTGTGTGTGTGTGTGCGTGCGTGTGTTCGAGACTTGTTTGAGAATTGTGCTGTGGATTAATTTTGCCCTATATTTTTGTATTCTCTGTAATAATGTACCTCCTGCTGTTTTTGTTGTTCTTGTTTCTAATTCTGCCTCTATTTATATGAATGAAAGTTATTCTGTGAAGTACAATAAATTGTGATCTTGAAAGACTTAAATAAGATGTAGACTTCGAAATTCGTTTCTTTTTCTTTTCGTGGCATATAAACCCATAGTGTTCTTAAAGTGTAAAAAGAGAAGGCAATGCTTATTTAATCTTGAGAAAGAATGAAAACAGATGATCATTCTTGTTTTGACTCGAATCGTAGCTTATGCTTTCGGCACTGAAAATCTTTAGATTGATTGCTTAAAATCGTCAACCCTTTTTTAATTGGGTGTTGGTTTATTCCGTTTGGTGCAGGTGACGTCTCCTGGAGGCAGTATAGTACACACCTTGAAGGGAACCTCGGGGGACAAATTCGAGTTCAAGGCACCTACAAGTGGGATGTACAAATTCTGTTTTCACAATACTCATTCGGTGCCCGAGTCGGTCTCCTTCAGCATTCACACCGGGCATATTCCCAACGAACACGACCTGGCCAAGGATGGTTCGTCTAATCTTTTGTCTTCTTCTAACAATCTTGATAAATTGCTTTAACTTGGCATGTGACAGTATTCTTTTTTTTTTTTTTTTTGCTTGGATTTTATCTTTACAGAACATTTGGACCCCATTAATGTAAGGATTGCTGAGCTGAGGGAGAAACTAGAATATGTCACGCTCGAGCAAAAATATCTGAAAGCGCGAGATGTTAGCCATCGTCGTAGTAAGACCACTTTTCATCTCTTTTCTTATGATCTTTTCTCGATGAATGTTATGCCAACTTACATGTAACTTTGAGAAGGATTTGTACACAGTCAACTATGTGCCAAAATTAATCTCTGTTAATTTGCCTTATACCGTGAATACTGTTTTTATAGGCTTTCAGAATACTGTGTTGTTCACTTAATAAAATGATACGTGCTTGGTTAATATCACTTTGATTAGTGATGTCATTTAACATAACATCGAAAATAGCAGAATCATGAATCGAGTTTAGTTGCATCTTATCCACCTGAATAGGGATGCAATTTCTAGTATAGATACACCTATCATTACCATATTTATCATCTTCCAAGGTAATCAATCCTTCTTTTCTTTTTACTTTTTTTATGTACACTCGGTATACTCTTCTTAAGCGTCCCTTTTAAATAATATTCACCTTGCTGAAAGACATATTTCGACGTTCAATTATCTCGGAGTGTCGATGAAGACATTTGCTTGCAATTCATAGCCCTTGCACATTCTCCGATAAGCTAGCTGACTGTAAAAAAAAAAAAAATTGCAAGAGCATAACAAAAGATGAATGGCGATGTCATATTGCCATGCATTGGCTTATATGAAAACTCTACACAAAAGTAAGAGGCTGTGTCTAAATCTCGCACAGACTACTAATATAAAGAGTTAGATACTGAGAACTTGTCATATTCCTCCACCGTAATAATGTTGTTATTATTTCAAGACTATTAACAGGACGCTTCATGTTCCGAAAAGATAGCTAGTATATACTTTGCCGCATTCTTTTACTTATTAGCTACATGTGTGTTTTTTTAATGCAGCAAATCAGAGCACAAGAAAGCGAGTCATATTCTACACAGTCGGGGAGTACCTTCTGCTGGTTCTTGCGAGTGGTCTTCAAGTTGTGTACGTACGTCGTTTGTTCAGCAAGTCGGTTGGATACAACCGTGTCTAACGGCAATGTTTGGGAGTAAGATTCCAGAAGAAATATACATGGCTTGTGTGGGACCTCCGATTGGACTTGGTTGTGGTATTGTTCCATAGTCACAGTAAAAGAAAACTGTATACTCTAACTTAGGGAGTTCGTGAATAACAAAAAATAAAATGGTTGCTTCTAAGCCTTTTGCCTTGTTCTAAAATTCGAATGAAATTTGACCAACAGAGGTTTTGGGTTATTGAAAGGTGATGCAATGTGTGTTTTCATTTATAGTGAATGACGGGCACGCGTATATATCTATAGCCGCGCTTCAGTGAAAATGGTGTTTAGTGAAAAAAAAAAAAAAAAAAAAAAAATTAGCTACAAAATTTGATTATCCAACGACAACAAAATAAAACCAACCTTTTACACGCATTATGAATAATTTGAATATTACATTAATAGCCACAATCCACATGTGCGACCCATTCCAATCTATTCACCCTACCCTATCGCCGTTAACGGAAAGCTGACGCGGATACAGTTGGGCTCAAATGCACAAATGCCGAAGGTATAAATTAAAATACTAACTTGAAATGGTGAACAATAATCCTAATCCCAGCAACTCAAGAATGATATAAGAAAATCTCTTGCAATAAAACAGGAATAATTCTTTTCTGATGTGGAAGTTCAGATTAAACTGCGACCACAGAGCATACTAAGAATATCCCAAATAAATAAAATATGCAAAAAATAAGACACCAAGATTTAACGTGGAAAACCTCCAAATTAGAGGAAAAAACCACGGGACAACCTCCGAACAATTCCACTATATTTTCAAGATAATTACAATATCTTTTCACATTCCCCTACACTAGAAATGTAAAATATAGTGACCCAGTGAGAACCCCACTCCTAAACAAGGAGTAATAGAGTTTATACCCAACCCGGTGTATTTTTCCCACACTCACAGGATTTACTCAAACACTCTATTTTTATCTCACTGAAAAATAACACTCCAGAAAATTTCCTTTCTGCTTTCTTTTTCTTCTCGCTTGGTGCTCTTCCTTCAGCTAAATGCTTCTCTATTTATAGGAGGAAAAACTGAATGTGAACAAATCAATTTTCGGCCAGCTCTTTCCTCTGCCAGCTAATTTGATTCCCTTTCTCAATAATTGTGTACAACTTCCAAACTTGGTTCCTTTTGTTTAATTTTTTATTGTTAATTTTGTTTGTATCTTCACATGTTTGGTTTATGTGTTTTGGCTGGACTTACAATTCTCCCCCTCCAGCCAAAAGGAAATATTCTGTCAATCTTCACATGCATTCCATGCCGATCAACTCGGCACAAAGCTGAAGCTTTCCTCCTGTTACAACTTTTGTCATCATGTCAGCAGGATTTTCGTCAATGTGAATCTTTTCCAACCTGAACTGTTGTTCATCCACTACTTGACGTAGCCAATGATATCTGACATCAATATGCTTCGTGCGAGAGTGGTACATCGCATTCTTACTCAAATCCAATGCGCTCTGACTATCACAATGGATATCGTACCTTTCCTGCTTCATTCCCAATTGTTGAAGAAACCTCTTCAACCAAAGCATTTCTTTTCCTGCTTCTGTCATTGCAATATACTCTGCTTCAGTAGTCGACAAGACAACAGATTTCTGCAATTTAGATTGCCAAGATACAGCTCCCCCTGCAAATGTAAACACAAACCCTGAAGTAGATTTTCTACTATCCAGGTCACCTGCCATATCCGCATTTGTATAACATTCAAGAACTGGGTTTCCTTTTCCGAAGCTCAAGGACTTATTTGCACTGCCTTTTAGGTACCTCAAGATCCACTTCACAGCTTCCCAATGATCCTTCCCAGGATTGGAAAGATACCTGCTAACAATTCCAACTGCGTGAGCGATATCTGGTCTAGTACAGACCATGGCATACATCAAACTCCCGACTGCTGAGGAGTATGGAACACCTGCCAAAGCTTCTTTTTCTTCTTGACTCGTAGGACAACTTTGTTTGCTGAGTTTGAAGTGATTGGCCAACGGTGTATTGACCGGCTTAGCCGATTTCATGTTGAATCTCTCCAGAATTCGAATCACATACCGTTCTTGCGATAACCATAGCTTCTTGGATTTTCGGTCTCGCATGATCTGCATGCCCAAAATTTGTTTCGCAGGGCCCAGATCCTTCATTTCAAAGGACTTTGCTAAATCCTTCTTCAGATCACCAATCAACTTCATATCATGTCCCACTATCAACATATCATCTACATATAACAAAAGGATAATGATCTTATCACCTGGAAATTTCTTAACAAACACACAATGATCTGCATCAGTCTTGGTATATCCATGGCTCGCCATGAACGAGTCAAACTTTTTATACCATTGTCTAGGAGCTTGTTTCAGTCCATACAAGCTCTTCTTCAATCTGCAAACCATCTGCTCCTTTCCAGTCTTCTCAAATCCTTCTGGTTGCTTCATGTAGATTTCTTCATCTAGGTTTCCATGAAGAAATGCAGTCTTCACATCTAGTTGTTCAAGCTCCAGATCCAAGCTAGCCACCAATCCGAGTACTACTCGAATAGAGCTCATCTTCACAACCGGAGAGAATATCTCATCAAAATCTATTCCTCGCTTTTGTCCAAATCCTTTCACGACTAAGCGATCCTTGTACTTCAACAGCTTGTCACCATCTTTCTTAAGCTTGAACACCCATTTATTCTTCAAGACTTTTCTGCCTTCCGGAAGCTTCACAAGCTCATAAGTTTCATTTTTCATCAGTGAATCCATTTCTTCTTGCATGGCTTTCATCCACTGGCATTTATCCTTATGAGTCTGTACTTCTTCAAAGCTTTTTGGCTCTCCTTCTTCAGTGATAATATACGTGGAACTAGGGTATCTCGTAGATGGTTGGATCGCTCGAGCTGAGGTGGAGCTTTGAGGTCTTCCTGCTCAACACCTTCACCATCACCATCTTCTATTGCTGGCTCATCATCAACCCTGAGTTCTCCATCACACTCTCCCCCTGCTGTGGCATCTCCAGGAGGTTTGACAGGTGAAAGATCCACCTTTCCACTTAGTTCTTTGATTTCTGGTGAAGTAGAATCAGACATAGTTTCTTTCTCATGGAACACTACATGCCTGCTTCTGATAATTTTTCGATTTTCTGGATCCCATAACCTGTAGCCAAATTCCTCATCTCCATAGCCCAGAAATATACAAGGAATGGCTTTATCATCAAGTTTTTGTCTCTGTTCCTTGCTTACGTGAGCAAAAGCTTTGCATCCAATGTAATATCCCGATATTTTATCGGTATAAATTATGTTTAGTTCCGATATAATAAATGTTATCAAATTATTATCGTCGGAATTAATTATTTTCAGTCGGGATTACCGAAATTTAATTTCTACGTACCGTTTACGTTCGAAATAATTTTGGTAATTAAGTATTGTGTTTAATTGAATAATTAAACATAAACTAAGTGATTAATGTTAATTAATCACAATTAATTGTTTTAAGCCGTGACAAAATTTCAAAATGCCGTGACCTTAGTCCAAATTCCCGTACGGATTTTACTTTGTAAATTATGTAAGGATTCTTCATGTTAAAGGAAGGACACGTGCCTTGGTGGGAGGCTTAGGAGGGGGATGAATCATCCTTAAAGTGTTTAATTAACTCCAAGTGTATGCTTAAGAAAAGGGCCACGCCTTGGCTACATCATCCCCCATCCCTACGGCCATCTATATAAAGAGGTACTTAGGTAAATTTTCCCTCAATTTTCTTATAAGTTTGATCAGCATATAATATTCCCCCCCTTCAGCAGCCTTTAAAGTTAAACAATCTCCCTATTTTTCCCATCAAATCACACGGCATAGAAGAACTATCGCACGACGCACGCGAGGTGAAGAGAGCACGCCCTATTTTCCGATTTCGGTCGAACAATCCGAGAGGTAATTCCTTCCTCATGTTATAATCTTGTCAGTAAGGTCAATTTAAGGTTAAGTGTTCGATCGATTTTCGAGAATTTCAAGTAAAATCATGCTTATAGCCGTACACGCTTAAGTAAAGTCATGACCGAGTTATTTTCGATTTCTTCCGGCAACTCTCGAACCATTAACGTTTAAATGTTCAGTTAGCTTACTTCATGTTCAGTATAATCAGTTTTGTCGAGGCAAAATGAGGTATTGTTGAAGAAGTGGCCCGGGCCGTCGCCAGCGCCTATCGCGCATGGCCACGGGCGACTGCGGTCCGTGACTTAGTGAATTCAGTAAGAAATCATGTTTGTCCGTGTGATTAGGTCTTAAATTGCTGATCATGTTGAGTTGTTCTGAAGTTGCCGGATAATAAGGTGGGTTGGCCGAGAGACGGCGTATAGCCGTCGGCGGCGCACGGCGCGCCCGCCGCGGCCCTTTCACGTTGACCGTGCAACGGTTGTATTTTCAGGTCATTATATTCATGTTAAGTCAGGTTGTGTTCAGTGATGTTATGTTGGTCGAAGTATTGTTAAGGTTGGTCGAGGACTTGGCCGAAGGCCGTAGGCCTCGCACGTAGCGAGCGCCACGGCCGGGTGTTAGGTCCGGTAAGCAAGTTCAGTCATTTCTTGTAAAATTCGGTATAATGTTCACGTTAGGTCAGAACAGGTCAAGGGAAGTCAGTTTGGTCGTAGAATTTCGCCGGACGGCCGGCAAGGGCCGGCCGTGGGCGCGCTGTCGCACGCAGCGGCAGCAGCGCATCGGCCATCACGTCAGCGTACCGTAACGCACGGTAGCGTGCGG